TACTACCTCACTGATATCTACATTTGTGCTTTGGTTTTTGTTACTGCTGTATTGTGTGTGTTTATTGTTTGACGAATATATTCAGGAACAGGTGTACCCTCGGGGATAATACCCCTACTGTAACTCCCTGAGGCCGGACGTACAGTTTGATGATCTCAGAATTTGCACAGACCAGCGCTCGCCCATAGCAATGCAGTCTTTTACTCGTGTATCTAATTCACACTTCCTTACCTAGGTCCGAAGCGGCTGGTTTGTATTGTCTGACATAACATGTACTTCGGCAGAGCAAGCTCACATTACTCCTTTCGGTTCTCTAACTAATAAACCATTGCGTCTCAAGGACCTGCATAGGCCGCAATAGAACGACCTATTGCTTTGGAAGTGCTCAGCAAAGTTTTTTTGTGTTTGCCCCATGAGCTACCTGCGAGAGCTTGTAACACGTCGTTACAAGCGGCCAAATGTCGTTCAATATCCCTCAATGGAACAGGTGTGTGTTCGTTTGACATATGTCGTGTATAAGTGTGTTTCGGTGTAGTCAAGTTCTTCTAGCCGTGTAAGCACTGGCAATATGACAGGATATTATATTGCTGGCGAAGGTGATATAAATTGCGAACTTTTCTAAAGGATATATTCCTAAAGCATCACTATCATATTTAGTGAGATTAAAGTTGATCTTGTAAATTGTATTAACACCAACTTAAAATATATATGATACGGAATTCCCATGAGAGTTTTAATTTTAATTTTACCAGTCATTTCAAATTATTATTGATTTCGATAGCAAAACAAGTTGAAATCAAGAAGATTTGTATGGCAATTTTAACAACTAAATATAATTAAATCGTGATTTGTACAAAATCAAGTTGATTTTAACTTGTTGGACTGTTCATATTAGTACAGTATTGTTATTAGCTTATGCTGTTGTGAATAGTTTTAGCAAATGAATACAAAATGAAAAAAACTGTTATTTATCACATTTTTTTTTTGAAATTGGTTAAAAAGTGTGGACATATGAAAAATCTGACAAATTATTAAATTACAGTGTACGTCGTGTGAATCGATTTGTGTTTTTTGGTTTCAGATATCAGTTTAAAATTTTAAACAGCTAAAAATACAATCAAAATTCTCGTGTGAATTCATTGTATCTGCTCTAATATTGAAAGACAACTTTAAAAAATGTCAATATAATTAATACTTTTATTTCTTTTAGTAGCTTTTCGATCATTTTGTTTTCTTTTTTTGATCATAATTATTGTTTTTAATATCTGAATAATTTATTTCTTCTGAATTAAAGTTGTGTGAATTCAAGATTTTTATGTGTATTGACTGTGGTTAAATTTATTTTAAATATTGTATATAACTGTACATATTTTTTAATATCGGAATTTTATATTAGGCTTACAACATTCTCCAACTGCCAGGCGAGGTCATCATATATCATTATCTCCAGCTCTAATAAAAACAAATGCACATAGTCCCTCACACAAGCGAAAAAAATCATCACCTATTGCAAAAAAATACGTTAATATCAAATCAAAAACTAAACGAAAAAATACTGGTACATCTTCTGGAACAGGTAAGTTTGTTTTTATTATTCTTCAGTAACATTTCTTTATAATAATTTATTTGAATTTTGTACAGGTTCTTCTGACTCTAGTGGTTCTGATTCAGATTCAGAATCTGGGTCATCATCTTCAGATAGCTCTTCATGCTCAGTAGATCAAAGATTAGTTATAAAACAAAAATTAACTAAAAATAGAAAATCTATTAAAAAAGGTAAACTTTTCCATCAAAAATTTGAATTTACAATTAAAATAATTTTTTTTACAGCAGTTCTCACAAAAAAAAGGTCTCCAATTTCCATTGAAATAAAAAAGCAGAATGCTGTTGGAACTTCAGCTTTAATATCGCCAACAAATTCAATATCATCAGAGAAGGGACTGAAAAAATCACGTCGTGAAGAACTCCTGAAACAACTACGAGCTGTTGAAGATGCGATTGCAAAGAAAAGATTAAAACTAACCTGATTGAACAAGTATAAATTCAATAATAAACTACATAGGACAGACTAATTTGTTTTGTTAAAAATATACTTGTCAATGGCATTTAATAAAGTATTTATATTATGTATTAATGAATGTGTCTTTTAAAATACAATTGATATTAATTTCCATTTAATTAAATCAAATAATTACCATATTTTTAGGGGTCTTACTTATTTTCCATTTAAATTATGTATTTATTAGTTTCTAAACAGTTAGTAATGGCTTTCAGTCAGATATTATAAACGGTGATTGCAATGCTAAAAATAAACATTGGGAATCAAGACTAAAAACAAAGCGTTTACACCTCGAGAAATATAAAGACGTCGGTGGCTTTCAGAAAAAGTATGTACGTTGACTTTAATGCCAGTCGAGATTAGTAATAAAATGTCAAGAAATCGAGATATATAAATGATCTATGGTTGTGTTGTACTTTCTACCGATGTGTCAGTATAATGTTTCCAAAAATACTTACAGAAACTAGGTATATCTTGATATCAGCTGATCTTACAATAATTACTAAAGGTGTTAACTTAAGACCTCTAAAGTAAGAAAGCAGATTCCCCAATAATTTTTTCGATTTAAATGAAATAAATTATTTATAAGTCTGAATGATATTTTGATAATGAAGTAGTCTAAAACGAAATTTACGCAGAATATTTAAAATGTACCTGGAAATAGTACACTAAGGCCAGATATTGTCCAAAATAGAAAAAGGTATCCATACAACATTATGATATTTAATAATGTTATCGGGCACTACCAAAAAAAATTAATCTTATTCTATTTACAACTTCAACCTCTTAATAAAGGGAGTAATAAAGTGCCTTTAACCTGTGCCACATTAAGACCATGGTCTATCATGTTATATCACATGTTCCTCGAGGTAAACCTGTTTTTAATCTAGTGATAAAACTCGACCGTTTAAAGACGTAGTAATAGTCTTTAAATGGAGCCTTTCGGATAACTGGTGCCCGCCGAAGGAACATCAGAATGACATAATGACAGGTAAAGAAACAACTGCGTTGGTACAACATAGTACAGACCAAATATAAAGTCGACCTAGATAACAACAATAAGAGATGGAAATGGAAAAACCCACAACAAAAGATTGACTCTAGAGAGCCTCCACGTCCTGAAAAACATACAGTCAACATCAAAATAAAGTGTACAGTATTTTACAAAATTTTTTTTTGCTTTCTTCCAATAGTTTAAATAGTGGTTGCCAATAATATTTTAATTTTTTTTTAAACCTTAAAACCTTTTTAAACCTTTAAACTTGAAAGAAATGTTAATTTGATTTACCTCAAAAAAAGCAATACAACAAAAACTCCAGATTTATTGCGTCAAAATAAAGTGAACAGTAATGAATTTAATAAATAATAAGCTAAAAACTTCACACTTTCATTCAGCTAATTTTGGTGTCACTTTCAGTCAAATGTTCTGCAATTCATCCTACAATACAGATTTCTGAGAGTCTGATAGTTATGCTTTTTTTTTTGCGAATTTGCCTGTCCAGATGTTCCCATAAATGTTCAATGCGATTAAGATCCGGTGATTGTGGGGATGGTCCAATTGTTTTAGTGTATGGTACAGCAGGAGTTCCTTATGCTGGAAAATCCAGCATAAAATAAATAGACACAGCAGCGATCCAGTTTTCCGACACTTCGACGCTAGCCTGGTGAATTTCCTTTTAAAATATTAAGCTAATCCATTTTGCAAGTTGTATTGTCAATAAACACCAATTTACCCACTCCACTTGCCGCCATACACGCTCACACCATCACTGAAGCCCCACTGTGGTTTACTGTAGACACTGTTTTTTTCTTGACATCAATCAAAAAAATTATAAAAAAAATTTCAATTATAATAATTTATTACTAATATTTTTAATGTCATCATTAAATATGGACATTTTCCGAGTAAAAGAAAACATTGTACATATTGATTCATAAATTACGTAAAAATTCTATAAGTTTTATCATATAGATTCTCTCGCATCTCTAAACTTCTCGAGAAAAAACTTCTTTTAAAACTGTCGCAGTTGGGTCGTTATACTAGGCGTAGACTTTTTAAAAGCAGCGGATGCTACCTTACGGTGCGGAAACTCAGTTATCGCCTTCCAAAATTAAGACCAACGAGACAAAGTAAACCAATATCAGCATTCTACATGAAATCAAATCACAGGAGGTACAGGTGGAAAACTTTGTATGATACCAACCATTGTAAGTTCATCGAAGCTGTCCATAGTATACCTCCGGAAGAGGAATGTGTCGAACCTAGTAGAATCAAACCCAGAGCAAAGGACTTACGAACGAGGAGAAAAAATACTTGGCTGCAGTTCCAATAGAGGCCGATATAATAGATTTTTCAGAGCAAGAATTAGCTAAGTTCAAAATTGTGAAGGGAGTCAATACATTAGCTTACTATTCTATAACCATGACCGATAATCAGCCGATTAAACAAAGATATTATTTACGAAATCCGGTGGAGCTGCTACAAAACGACCACATCGAACCCTCGAGGAGCGCGTATAGTGCTCCTATCGTACTGGTGAAGAAGAAAAACGGTAAGTGGCGACAGTGTGTTGATTATCGGCAGCGGATAATGTAACTATTCACCAACAGAAAAGGCATAGCTATAATATAGGGCATTTGAAAGATGCTTCTGTACTTGAAGGGGTGTCGCTTCACGGTTATTACAGATCACCTGTCTTTGAAATGTTTGAACTCGACTGACAGTTCTTCGGTGCGAATTGCACGCTGGACTGGAATACAGTTTAAATATTCAATATTGTGTTATGTAGGCCTAAGAAAAGGATTTAACTGTTATCATAAGTGTTCAAAAATAAAGGAAAAATAATACCTGCGAGGTCCCACGCTGTCCAAGTCACATCTTGCAACACCTAATTATATGTTTATACAGTCAGTGTTTTTTTTCTTTCTGCTTTTCCTATGTGAATGTGTCCATAGAGTCTCCACCAGATCAGATCACTTTTAGAATTGTTTTGTTTTTTTAAATATACCTACTTTTAGCAATGAGGTATTTATATATAAAATAACATATGCACTTTTGGTTATTATTTATCTTATTTCTTACTGATTTATTTCTTGTTTTTTTGTTTTGGTTGCTTATCACTGCAATTTAAATTTTCAATATGCATATCAATGGAAATAAAGAAATAGTAAATAAAGAATGTAAATGTAAAGCTTTTGTTTTTTTTTGTTTTGAGCTGTGCAAATTGAGGCGAATTCCACTAAAAGCTTCACTGAAATTTGACTTAGTGAGAGGAAATGGTATTGCCAAATAGGAATAATCAACATAAATACAAAAGGCAAGTCATAGTTTTGTGGAAATAAAAGTAAAGTGAGCTTTTTAATAGTTCATTCACCCCAAGATAGGTAATCAAAACTAAAACAACGCCAGCCAAAACAAGCAAAAACAATCCGCGAGAAAAAATTTAG